CTTTGCTACAGAATCCGGCACTGCAGTCCCGCCATTTCCCTGTATCAATCGATCGAAAAGTCAGTGCGAATCAACATAATTGGTCTTTTGGGGAAAATGATTGTAAACTTTCCGTGTATTTGCCAAAGTGTACATCATGGCAAACATTGTCGAATGCGTTCTTTTCCAAGCATATTGACAAGGCTCGAAACACGGAGAGGTTAAAACGATGTTTATTTTCACAGGTAAATAAATGCTGTATGCGTTCCGATGTCCAAAAGTGAATAGGTATCTTGAATATCAATCAGAAGTTTGTTTCAAAAGCGTGTGGTTCTGTTAAAAGTCCGTGACGTGTTTGGCGAGTTGGAATATACGATATAAATGACGGAAAAATAGGGGAAACAATGAAAAATATTGAAAGGAAAAGAAAGAGATGTATTGGGATCATACAAAGTGAGCGAAGGATCGATGTTATGGCATGTTTTCTCGTCGTTGGAAATGCGCATGTTAGACCAAGTTTTTTTTTTTTTTCATTTGCCTTTTTTTAAATAAAAGAATGATTATAGTAACTAAACAAGTCATTATGGAGTATTTCCAAAACATATTGTAGTTAAGTTTTTTTTTTTTTTTTTAATAAAACATATATCTATCCTGAGTATATTGGAACTTGTTTGCATAACGTAATGTATCTGCTACAGGTAAAAAAAAATATATCTCCCAATTTGAAAAGTTAACATTGGTATCATTTTTACACATACCTCTATGAGACTACCAAATAAACTATGTAAGCATTAAGTCAACAAATCATTGCTCGTTTGTCTGAGAATAAAGAATAGAAATAACAAACTGAGAAACAAGAAAAACAAAAGAAAATGAAGATTATCGAGGCCTATCCCCTGGCACGCTATAGTGTAGCCTGCGACATGACATGTAAAAAAAAATGTTTATTTTGTTTGTTTTACATCATCATCATCTTCATCTCAAAACAACTGAACCTTCACTCTTATAATTTGTACATTCCTTACTTAGTTCACATTAGAATGATTGAAAAAAAAAAGAAAATGTTCATTTCCGTAGAATTATATTCAATCGTAGAAATAGATACGAGAGAAACAACAACTAAAGGAAATGACTTTAATGTAATGACTTGTTAGCACTATAGAGAACCATTAATTGAGAATTTACGATGTCTAATGGCTGTTATATTTTCCCTTCTACATGTCACCAAAAGAGGAAGGAGGAGAAAAGGGGAGAAAAAAGGGGAAGGATAAGAGAGAGAGGGAGGTTAAAAGGACGAAAGGAAAGAGAGCAGGGAGGGAAGGAAGAGAGGGAGAGGGAGGGAGGGAGGGAGGGAGGGAGGGGGAGAGAGAGAGAGAGAGAGAGAGAGAGAGAGAGAGAGAGAGAGAGAGAGAGAGAGAGAGAGAGAGAGAGAGAGAGAGAGAGAGAGAGAGAGAGAGAGAGAGAGAGAGAGAGAGAGAGAGAGAGAGAGACATCGATGACTCCCGCTAGGCTTGTTCCACAATCTTGATTAATGAGAGTGGGTGTTTTGTATCCTCTTCTCCTATTCTCAATATCATCCATCGAAATTTCAGCAAAAAAAGAAAAAAGAAAAAAAAAGACATTAAAAAAAAGAAAGATGACTCGAACTCATCAGCATCTGCCGTCGTCTGAATATGCTAAATGGATTCCTCTTTTATGACGAAAAGTTAAGGAGGGACTTGACCCGGTTAAACCCACGAGGGCGATCGAAGCTTATTAGTACAAACATCGCTCGTGACCCGTTCATTTCCCTGTATTATTAACATTATTCGTGTGTTTTTAAAGCGACGTTCTTCCAATCGCTATGTCTCTTTTAGCCGTAACGAACGCGGATTGGTAAATAAATCGTGCAGTTCGAAGGCTGTAAATTGATAAAACGATTTTTTTTGTGTGGGCATGTTTGTGTGAATCGATAAAGGAATTCGCTCAGGAGTTATCACAACACACTTGTCAGATTCACAACCGGCTTATAACTGGTCTTTGATTCCGTTCCTCTCTACGCTGCCGTTCACTGCGATGTGATAAAGGAAAAAAAATAAGTCAATGAAGAACAGTTCATTTAGTTCACAGTGAACAACGATTCTCACTCATGGCAGAACAGATCCGCTCTGGCAGATCTGACTCGGATATTAATGTTCTTTCCAAATGTCATGTGATTAGGTGAATGACAACAACACATCCATGGTGTACTTACCATTAATGTACATTCAAGATATAATCCTTGTCTTCGCGTTGAAGATCTTGGGGTCTTCCACCGAAAAAAGGCAATATCTCTTTTCTCTTTTGAACACAGGTCGGCACATACACCACCAAAAAAACACGTGCCTCTCAAAAAAATAAAGCACAGATTGATTCTTCTCTTTCTTTCTCTCTTTCTAACTAACGCTACGAAGCAATATCAAACACCAAGAAAAATGAAAGACACATCCACCGAAAAATATAAAGAGATCGTTTAGTACAAGGTTCCTCCGTGCTCGAGCGT